TCTAAATAGCTCCAATCCTTCAAAAGTATATGGTTTTATTGTTACATTAATGCTCCATTCTATATCATACCTTTTGTCTGTTAATGAACTTTTATTTGGTTTTCTTGTTATTGACTATAACACCGTTTTTTTATGCTAAAAGCATTATTCAATATATTATAATGTGTAATTTCTCTGGCTGCTGACGAACAGAAGTTTTTATTAACTTTTCTTTAATATAATTATGTATGCAGATTTGTATTTTGATCTTCTCACGGTGCTAAAGAGCAAATGTAATAGTTTATTGTATTTTTCCATAAGATTTCTAGTTTTTCACTGTGTCATGGCTCCTCTTATTTCTTTTCCTACGATTTACATTAATTCATTTAATTATTATTTCTGAAATTTCAAGTTTATACACAGTTTCTTTTGTTCCACTTATTTATCTAAGATATGTTATTCATTCTTATCTATCTATCTATCTATATAAGGATTTTTACAGGCTGTCGCCGCCTTCCTTCTTTCAGCCAACGTCTCCAGTCCTCTCTGTTCTGCCATTCTCCATCTCTAAGGTCTCGTTTTTCCATGGCCTCGTCCACTTCATCCCTCCATGATCTTCGGGGTCTACCTCTTTTTCTCCTTCCTATTGGGCTCCAATCCGAAATCCTTGCTATCCACCTTGTATGATCTGTTCATTCTTATCTATAGATGTGCTTATTCCCTATCAATTATCTATCAATATTTGAAGTCTTTTTTTATTTGTTTTATTCATTGTAATGATTCGCATCCGTACATAAAAATAGGTCTAAAGCTTGTTTTATGCTCTAAACTCCTTCAGTGGTAGTATTACCAACTGCGATTATTGTTCTAAGATATTTAATGTCTTCCATACTTTCGAAATTGAAATTGTTGACTTTAACGTTGTATCTAGATTTACTGACGGTCTCTTATGTTTATGCGCTGGTATTTGGTTTTCACTTCGTTGATTTTACTTGAAACTTTTTTCGTGCTCTCTGGACTTTGTTCCAGTATGTCGTTTACATATTTATAGATGTAATCATCAGCATAACTAGGAGCTGCTCTGTACCTTGAGAGAATTTCTCTCTTAAGGTTTTTGTTTCCCGTATCAATATTACAACAATTTTGCTGGATGCCGACATAGGAAACCCGTTGGTATGTACATACTGTTTCGATATCTTTTTGTCTCGTTATAAAGTGAATATTAGTTTATTAGGAAATATGATATTGTCTAATAATAGTTAAGTTGTTTTGCTTTGCTTTCTCAGACTGCTACCGTCGTGCCTTCTGGTATTTGATATTTCAACCGTCAAGCAACAATTCCTATATGCATTAACTTAATGCTGATATCCTGCTTCCCCAATCCAGTTAGCAGTCCCGAAACCAATAAAATTGCTACATTCAAGTTTTCTATTAAGCTGCCCAGAACTATAGGTACGCCTTATTATCTTACTGATGTTAGTGCTGCCCCTTATAAGTGAATAAAATATGAAAGGAAGGTTTTGGTAATTTAATAAGATCCTTGTGTTACAATATAATGTCTCCGAGAAAGTAAAGTAATATCAAAACGCTATTCGGATTTAATCCATAGCTAAAATATTAGAATGCTATAAAATAATGCTATATATTAGCATTAATAAGTTTATAATGGATACTAAAGTTTGAAAATAATTAGAGTAAGTAATTTAAATTATCAAAGTGCTTATTAAACATAAAAATAAAATAAAATTATATTAACAATTTATATTATAATATATTTAAAAACAGTAGCCAAATATTCTTGGAATTCCTCGATGACTAACCTGGTGGATATTTAAATAAATTTTAAGTTCTAAAATGTACCTGCTCTAAAATTTGAAAATCTACGACTAATACAACTACTGGCAACATCGCAGGAGCTTAGTTGTGTACGCTAAAAGCTGTATACGGATCCCAAAAATGTTTTATCCAGTTACGGAGTCCACTTGATCCGACGTGTTGGTCGGAGTCTACATAAAGCGCTACTCAGATAATAATATACACGGCGTATATTCTCCTGGAGTTAGTATAATACCGTTTTAGTACGGAGCCCACATTAACCGCTAGAAGTATATATATATATATAATATATATACATATATATACATATATATATATATATATATATATATATATATATATATATATATATAATATATATATATATATATATATCTGACATTCGAAATGTCAGTTTTTTGTATGTGTCAACAAATAATCTTTAATAAATAGTTTGGAGATATCCTTATGTGTACAATTATTGTAATTATTGAACCTCTTAACTTATTTTCGTCTAGTAATTTCATTACAGAATGCATACAAATCCCATTTAACTTTAACAAGAATTCAAATTCTACTCTCCAATGACAGCATGCGCGAACACGACCGATTTTGTGATACGGGAAGAGCCTATCTTGTTATTCATAGTATCATGGTTCAATCCATCAAGAATTAGCAGAAACATCTACTTTACCTAGTTGTAGTGTCGATTCGTAAGTAACCCTTTTTACTTTTTTTTTATTTACTTACCGTAAAGTAAGTAAATAGAGGGTTCATGACCTTACATATTATTTGTTTATGGTCAAAATATTACCAATGTTTTACTCTTAAATAATAATAATAACAAATAATATCATTTGCAGAAAATACTTTAAGTTTTATCGTTATTTCTAGTAATAGCTGTCATTCTCAGTCAGTTGAGATTGCCTCTCCGCAAAAACCATCTTTTTCGGTAGAAGACAGAAGAATAGTGGACATAAACTTTTTCATTAAATCTATTCAAGGTTTGAATAATCATTCTCCATTTTCATGCAACTTTTCTAATATGGAGATTATCAAAGAAAAAATGGACGGATTGATAAGTACATTGACTTTTAAATGTTAAATGAGGAATATTGAAAAGGAGATAGCAACATAGGATTCTGGTAACAATTCACTGAACTTGAATGGTTCTGGTTATTCAGACATACAGCAGCAGCACGCTGCATTAAATATACCTGTGATGTCCTACAAACAGTATGCAAAACATACGGAAATAGTTGCAGATATCATCAGCCAAACACTTTGTGATTCCTTAGAAGAGGCTGGACGGGAGGAATTAGCTTTAGCCAAAGAAATTGGTGAAGTAGATTCCGACGGAAATGGGTTAATAACCGTTATAGCTGATGGTGCTTGGTCAAAAAGATCGTATAAAGTAAACTATGATGCTTCTTCAGGTGTAGTACCTGACGTTGTAAAATTTATTAAATTAGTACGCCTTTGATGGATAGGACATGTAATTAGGCGAGATGAAGATGAAACGATCAGAAAAATTTTCGACCGAAGAGGACCAGTGGGAAAACGATCCAGAGGAAGACCAAAACTTAGGTATCAAGATAACATAGAGGATGATCTAAAATCCATCGGAGTTAAAGCATGGAGAAAGTTGCCAGAGGCAGGGGCGAATGGAAGATTGTTCTGAAGAAGCCTTTGGCTCATGACGAGCTGTAATGCCACTGATGATGATGAAATAACTATCCACGATTTGTATTTTATTCATCAATTGGATACTTTTCTTATGTAACTGCAACCTATAAATATATTAAAATAATGTATATTCCATTCAGAGAACTTTTTCCTCGCAGTGCGTCGCCTCGAAATACTTGCCAAATAAATACATTTACTATTATGATGGTTTCGCAGGTACCAATTTTTTATAGATAAATAAAAATATTTTTTGTTTAATTTTTACTACGCTAATATCAGTTTTCTCTAACAAATAAATAATTTATTGAAATAATTTTCAAGCTATAACTGCGAAATTGTTTATTTGTTTGTGACAACAAATTGTAATTTTTTTGATAATAATATTCGTATGTTCTTTTAAATTTATTATAAATAAACACCATGGTGTTTTTTGCAGTCACGTTTCACAAATTTTTATTTAATACTATGTTTAGCTAAGACATATAAATTAAAAATGTGATTAATTCTTTTTAAAACATTATCGACGATAATTAATAAAAAAAAAAGTATTCCGACAAAACTAATTTGAATGGAGAATAATGCATTTATTATCATTAAACAACCCGTCGGCCGGCGCCACTGAATAAACATCCAAACTTTTAAATTCGGTACGGCACGTACGGTCTGACATAAGCAAGTACATATTAGAAAAGTAAGTGATACGCCCACTTCAAATCGCAGTATGCTATAACTGCGAAAACAGCCTTAATTCAAGCGAACTAACTGACCGTACCCATAGAAAATAAAAATAAGACCGTACCGTACGTTCATGAGATATGACGTCACTATCGATCAAGCTCAGCGACAATGATGAGGAACACGTTTCACTATTAGATTTCAGTATTTTTTAGCAATTTTCTTCAAAGTTTGAATACGCTTTTCTCGATTATTACTGGACACAGAAAGGTGAAAAAAGAATCAACGATTACAGAAAAAAAAACTCTTTCAACTGATGGGCGTGAAAAGTTTGGTTATAATAGAACGTTAAACAGTATAATCCAATTTTTCAACAGAAAATTCAAAAAAATAAAAAAAGTAAAACCATCAGTTTAAAGGCAACATAATTTCGTATAACATGTCCAAATTTCGAGACATTTCGTCGGTAAATAACAGAGAAAAAATTTTGGTGCACCGATAAAACAGCCTTAAACCATAGGCACAGGAAAGAGACTAGCAGCGCCACCAAACGAATGGGCGTGCGGGCGCTAAATCCGAACGTGATTTGACATTGCCTATCCCTGTTACCAATCTAGGTGTAATTTTATCTTTGTTAGAGATCAAATGACAAAATGATTTGTTTTCCCGAAGTTATCGTCCATCTTTAAAATCTTCAGCACCCCCTGTGGAATTGGCTATCGCCAGAGATCTGGCCATCGAGCAAAAAGACAACTGGCTATCGCGAATATGAGATAAGTGACGTGAGAATAAGAAAGAAGAAATAAGAAAACTAGTGAATTTTATGGTTAGAATTTAGGCAGTTCACAGTTCAGTTTGTATTTGTTATTAAAGTTTAGATATTGTGTGTATGTTGTACAATTTAATTCTAAAAGAATTATTAGATTATTTAGCAATATACTGTGCCCGTAGCATCACCGAATTTTCTCGTTTACAGAATGTCTCACCTATTTAGTTAAGAAATAAATTCATAGGCATTTATTCTGTTAGTTTTTTACCATTCACTTCAGTCTAAACAAGAATAGCAGAAATTAAATATGGAAGAAGATTACGATGATAGGCCTTGGGATGGTGGTGATCGACACGATGATGTAAGTAAAAGAAAAATGATGATTGTCTTGTATTTTAAGTTAGTTTTCAATTCAATCTATTGTACCTATTTAAATATTGCTACTTATATTACCTTTTTCTACTAAACAAAGTCTATTATTCACCTCTTATTTTTCATGTGTATTGCATTCATTAATTCAATCTATTTTACTTTCAGTCTGATGCTGGAGATGAACCGGAAAATCCAGAACAAGTTCTGGCAGAATGTGCAGAGAAATTCTCAACCCCAGATTATATTATGGAACCAGGTATTTTTTCACAGTTAAAGCGTTATTTTCAGTCTGGAGGAAATCCATTACAAGTCATTGAAGAATTATCACAAAACTATACGGCTGTGGCACAAATGGCAAATTTAATAGCAGAATGGCTTATAATTGGGGGTAAGTAATATACTATGAAAGTTAGAACTTAAGTTTTATTTGTCAATAATTTGATTATTTTAGGAGTGAAAGTAACAGATGTTCAAGCTATGGTAGAAAACCATTTGAAAGAAATGATTTTAAAAACTTTTGACCCTAAGAAGGCAGACACTATATTTACAGAAGAAGGAGAAACACCTGCTTGGTTAACACAATTAATAGAACACCCTACATGGAGATCTTTGATTTATAGATTGGCAGAAGAATATCCAGATTGTCTTATGTTAAATTTTACAATTAAAGTAAGTTTAATCATTCTTTATTTGTAGTTGAACCTATCATCTTTTTGTTCACTATAATTTTTTTTCTTAAAATGCTATATAATAGGATATTTAAAATGATATAGCATTATTAGTAGGTAGGCCACCAATCCAACTTGTATGTTTCTGTAAGCAGCATTGCCATGTCATCAAATTCAGAAAATTGTATGCTGTTGAAATTATTGTATTTTATAGTATGGATTATCATATTTATTTTTTATTGAACAAGAAATTGGCAAAATAGGTAAAAAATAATATATTTAATTTTCTGTAAAAGAAAACAATGAAGACAAATAAACAAACAAATATAATAGACAAACAAATTATTTAAAAGAAAAAAAAGTAAAATAAAAAATATACACTATTCAGTTAATGTGAACTCAACTTTTGGCAGTTAAGAACCCTTTTGAAAATAAATTGATTGAGATGAATGAATAATGCTATATAAAGTGTCTGTTACCAAGTGGTTCTGATATATCGTCTTTATTAAATTTACTTTTGAAAATTGTTTTTCACAACTTGCATTTGAATGCTGTAAAGTTAAGACAGACCATGCAAACTCAAATTAGCAAATAGAGGATTATCATCAAAATGTTTTATTTGATCCACTTTAAAATATAATTCATCCAGATTTTAGAATTCTATTGGAATATTCTGTAATTATTAATGTCATCGATGTTTTGTATCATTTGTAGGTCTTGAGGATTACAATTTCATGTCAATTTTGACATTAGTCATAAAATACTTTGGCAACTGTTACAGCTACTTTTATTTAGAAGATGTATCTTGCCCATGACTGGATCTGTAAAATCATTTCTTTTTTACTTCCATACAAGCTGTAATCAAGAAATGCCTGCATTTTTCATAAAACTCCTGTTTATTTTGCATCACCCCAATTCCTAGATACATGTTGTTGATGTTGACAAATTTTGTAATGACTTGTAGATCAAGTTGTTTCAACATTAGTTGGTCTAACATATTGTGGTTCCTTGTAAATAAGCAATTTATCTTTATACATTGTGACCATTTCATTGTGCAAATTTATGATAATTACTTAATCGCTTTGGACAAATTTATTTAATTCCACAAATGTTGGTAAAATGGATCCCAAAAGTAGGTAAACAAGTTCCCATTCCAACTTATTCATTAATTTTATTTTGCTTGTGTCATGTTAAGATGTTGATGTTTCATCATCATCTGCCACACCATTATGGACCTTTCCCTTTCTTCTTTTTTTAAATGTTCTATTGCTATGTCTTCATTTCTTCTCTCATATATTTTTCCTCTTTCCTCTTTGTTAAAACTGCAGAACTCCAGACCGGCGCAGCGTAGAGGACAATCAATTGCACGACAGAATGAAGGGCCCTCCTCCTCTCAGATTTGGGCCCTCCGATGTTGGGCATGATCCCTCCCAATGCAGTGGATCTCACCGCAGCTCTTTGAGTCACTGCTTTTACGTGCTCCCCCACTTTCCGTTTTGACTCGGGGTCACCCCTAAATACCTCACGCATTTCTTTGGAACCACTATCCTGCACATTCAAATGTTATCCCGTCCCTTTTCCTTGGTCCCTTGAGAATTATAGCCTCGGTCTTACCCCCAGCCAGTTCTAGCTCATGCATTTTCATCCATTCCTCAACTTGGTTGCATGTGCGCTGTGCACCAAAGATAAGGTCCTCTCTGTCCCGCGCCACTATCAGCATAGCGAGGTCGTCCGCAAATGCGAATGGGGTTACACCCTTTCCGTATTGTTGGCTCACAACCCCGTCATATGCCAAGTTCCATAGCGTGGGTCCTAGGACCGACCCCTGTGGCACTCCAGCCGTCACGTCAACCACTACTCCTTTTTCTACCACAATTTTCCTCTCTGACAAATAGTCGGAGACCAAATTCATCAAGTACCTCGGACACCTTCTCTCTCGTAGGGCCTTCATTACCTCTTTCCATTTTAATGTGTTGAAAGCATTCCGGACGTCAAACAACAGTAGGATTGCCTACCTCTGGTTAACCCCTACCCCGCGTAATTCCCGGAAGACTTCCATTAGTGCATCCACCGTGCTCCTGTTCTTTCTGAAGCCGTACTGCCTGGGTGACAGCCCGCCTGACTCTTCAATCACTGTGTCTATTCGCCCTCTTAAGAGCCTCTCGTATAATTTACCTATGCACGACAGAAGGCAAACAGGTCGATACTTGTCTTCCCCCTTTGGGAGTAGCACGAGCTTCGAGATCTTCCAATTTGCCTGAAATCGCTGAGTTTCAAGCAGTACATTCATGCGGTTCAAAAGCCACGTCGGCTCTATACTGCCAATGCGTTTCACCGCTTCTGGTGGTATTCCATCGAGTCCCGGAGCCTTTCGTGTCTTTAGGGCACTCAACGCTTCGTTGAGTTCGTCTATGGTAAAAGGTACAGCTCGCTCAGCTTTGGCGTCCCACTGCACTCCATGCCAATGGCCGGGTGGAAATAGCTCTCGGGTAACCTCAAGCTTCCTGTCCAGTGGCATTTTGTACCCCTGACCCCAAACGTCCTCATCCAACTTGTCACACAGTTCTCTCCAGTGCCTCTTCTCGGCTCGGATCATCCTGTTCAGTTCCTTCTTTCGTGCATTGTATACCATATCCATTCTGCTAGCTTCGGTTACTTCTCCTCTACCTCTTGCCCTTGTAGCCTGTCTTCTGATGGCAATGCATTCCTTCCTCTTATTGGCGATCTCTTCGCACCACCAATAAGGCATTTTTCTTTTTTCATCTACCCCGTTTATGCAATTTCTCATAGTCTCTCTTATTATTGATTCAAGTCCCTCTGCCGATGGCTGTTGGCATCTTCTCCTCTCTATCAACCATCTAGAATACTCATCAAACGCTAGCCAGTCCGTTCTATCTCCACATCTGCTTCCTGTTTGGTTCGCTGATGACTCCACGTTGGTAGTCCCTAATCCGACGATCGAAAAGCCAATGTAGCGGTGTTCTGTAGCGGTGTCATCTGGCAGCACGGTCAAGTCTCTAATTTTCCTCGCCGCATTCTGAGTGGCACAGGTGACATCGATATATGAATACGAATTTCCCTCACGAACGTTGGTTCCTGACCATTATTTAAGACCACTAAGTCCAGAGTTCCTATCCATTCCATAAGCATTTGTCCGCGAGCGTCCGTTCTGGGAGAACCCCACTCCGCCGCTTTGGCGTTGAAGTCCCCTAGCACTACACACTCTCTTCCCAATAATCTTACCTCATTCATAATCTCATCCAGTCTACTTTCATAATTCTCCACTGCAGCTTCTCCATTCCAGCACCCCCCTTTTGCTTCTCCCTCACAGTCTCTTGCTATGTGGCCATGTGCTTGGCATCTATAGCATCGTGTCACCTTTACCATCTCCTTTACCGTGACGTGTACCATCCCGATCTTTATTCTTTCTGCCACTAAAAGTCTTCTGGCTATGTCCTCATCCACCTCTACATAACAAATTCTGCTTTCTCCCCTGTTTGTCCTTATTTTTCCAACTATTTCACATGCTTCCTCCCTACCAGCAAATTTCTCCACCGATTCGACAATGTCTTTTTCTGTGGTTAGGCAATCCATGTCGGCCAGCATCAAACCCTTCTTTACTCTTCCACCTTTTGCCACTACTCTTGTTGCACATCCTTGTCTTGATGCTACTAAATTCCTGACTTGTTCCGCCATTTTCCTGCCTCCATTTAATTCCAGGACCACGCCTTCTTGTCTGGTTTGTCTCACCTTGTTTATGACGGCATCCTCTCTTTCTCCTAGCTCTTCCCTTAACTCTTTTACAAGTTCAGCATAGGGCTTGTCCTTCGGTTTTGTGATGATTACCATCCCTTTCTTTTCTGTGGCTACTATTTGCCTTTTCTTAATCGTTTTGCCGTGTATCGTTGCCGTTACCTTCTTTCCTCTTGCTGCCCACTCTAGCACTTTTCTTGATTTTTCCAGTCCTAGTGCTGCTGGTGCTGCTATCCCTATCTTCTCTCTATCCATTCTTTCCATACGGTCGAATAGCTTCCTGGCTGCTGCCAAGAATTTAACACCCATTGGTTCTTCTCCTCTCCTTTGCTTCAGCTTGTGGACAAATTTTTTTGATGTTCTCTCTCTCCCATTTTCCTCTACTGTACATGTTATCTGACACATAGTCCCAATTCCTCCATTTTCATCTTCTTCCACGTATAATCCGGGAGGTCTGGGTACCTTGCACTAAAATCCCCCCTCACTCTTGCGTCAGCAGCATCCTCTGTTACCAAGATTGCCACATTGTCCGGTGCCTCCAAAATTCCTTTTTCACAGACGGTTACTTTCTCATAAACCTCCTCTGGCCATTCCTGATCTAGTACTTCACTAATTTCTTCGGTGCTTTCTGCCGTATCCATTTTCTTATATAGTTCCTCAATCCTTTTTCTTTGTAATTCTGGGTTCTCTTCCCAATTTGCTTCTACCTGGGTCCCTACGCACCTCGTAGTTGTTGCTACAGTTATTTTTGTTTGCGTCCCTATTGTTGTTACACATTTTCTTATGCCTTCCCTTTTGTCAATATTCTCTGTAGCACTATACATTAGCTCTCTAATGTTTTTTTTCCATTTCGCACCAAATCTGCCGTACCTTTGCGGTTCCCTGTTTTATCTCATTCTTTGTATTTGCCACCGCCTTTGTTAGGTTCACTAACTCGTCGATGCATCCCTTCATTCTTGACATTCCTTTCTTTGTTTTACTTCTATCTATCTTACTTTCATTTTTGTTTCCACCATCTCCTATGCCTTTCTCTCCGTGCGATTTCCTTTTCTTTTTTCTGTTAGTGTTGGTCGTCCATTCACTCTCGTCATTACTATCTCCCGTTTCGTTTTCACTGCCATTCTCCTCCACTGTTTCACCTATGTCCTCGTTTTCTCCTTCTTTCTTCTCCTTTTGCTCATCATTTTTCTCCCCCGGCGGTCCTTTTCCTCCTCTTCCGCTAATGTCGCCAGCCTCTCTTCGCCTATATCCTCCATAGACTCTCCTACCCCTATGCTTACCTTCTTTTTTATTAAGTATTTTTCCATTTTTCTTCCCACGAGTTGGGTCGATTCTTCGGTCCAGCGGGGCAGTGCGCCCATACTCCGCCAAGGCTATAATCCCCTTCGGTTCGCCTCCTCCTTAGGGCATCGCTTGAGACCCACTTTTCCCCTTGGGCCATGCACCCCTTCGGCACGATGGTGTTACACCTTGAGGTTAGGGTGGCGATATATTAGAATGATGCATAGCCGCCTGTTCTATGCATATCCATTTGTTCTCAGTGGTTTTTTCCACTGGTTTTTGTATTGGTGGAGGTTTTCTCCTCGGGTATAGGTTTGGGTATCAGGACATGTATGATAGGTAGGGGTGGGGATCGTATGACACAGGGACAGGTTAGGAATTTGGGTAGTGGACAGCGGACAGCTGCTCCGTTTAGTCGCCTTTTACGACAAGCAGGAGAAGCCGTGAAGGTATTCTACTTGAGTGGCCCGCCTTCACACGGGGAAAGACAAATTAACCCGGTTTAATTTATTTACGACAACTACAGATATAATATGGACTATTTTATTCGTACTTTTAGTTGATTTGAAATTATTTCAAATGTATCTGTAAAAATTTAAATTACAGTTCTGTCGTAGCTTGTCACAAATTTCTCAATTGGAGTCTATGTTTCCGTCTAAAACATGGCGTTCGCGTGCTGACAAACTTCAAAGGCGGCATCTGAGAGTGGGCATTCTGATTGTTTATTATTCTGTGACACATATTGTTCTGTGACACATATTAAGAATTCTACAAATACTAGGTCTTTATCCCTAAAGTAAAAAATAATATTTTATGAATATGAATAATATTTATGAATTAATATGAATTCAAAATTTGTGGCTTCTCACAACAAAACATAATTTTGTCAAAGTATCTTTATATTTTAAAAACTCGTATACTTTATACAAAAAAAATATGGCAACACTGTGGCTGTGGCGCCCAAACATAATAATTCAGGCGCCAAGGTTATGTTATGATTTATGAAATGAAAACTGAAAACCCTCTGAGGAAACTGAGGAAGGGTCACCTCTGAGCCCACTTTTATTTAATGTGTACACTAAATCATTACATGACATTATACCAGCCGAATTCAAATTACCTAGCTCTTGTAATAACTGGCAAAAACATAAATAATCTTATTAGACTTGCTAATGATTGCCTTGGAGACATTATTATTTAGCTAACTGAAAATAAGCTTCCTTTATCAATAGATAAAACATCAGCAATGATATTTAGTAATATGAAGAGCACAATAAACGACATACCTTTAACAATAGATGGACAGATCATTCCTATCAAAAACTCTATTAAATATTTAGGGTTAGTTTTTAATAATTCTTTAAACTGGACAGAAAACATTAAAAATATTGAAACGAAAGCTCAAAAAGGAATGAATATAATGAGAGCATTATGTGGCACATGGTGGGGAGCAGACCCTATTTCACTTCTGTTAATTTATAAAGGTATTATAAGATCACACCTTGATTACTCATGTACAGTACTAAAACCCTGCAGTAAAGCCAACCTCGTAACATTAGACAAAATCCAATTTAAAGCTTTGAGGATTATCACAGGTTGTATGAGATCTACTCCTACGAATGCCTTATTAGCTGAGAGTGGAGAAACATCATTAGAAATCAGACGAAAAATCCTGTCTGCTAAATTTTATCTTAAAATCTCAGCTGATATAGAAAACCCTTTGAATGAAATATTGTCTGAGCTAGAGTTCAAAATCAATAATCAGATAGGAATGTGGAAATTAAAAGAGACACCATATCTTATTTACATTAAAAGTAAATTTGATCAAGATCTTAAACAATTATTTAAAGATAGTATTAAGTCCTGTTACCAGATTGAGCTAAAATATCAAATAGAAAGAATAAAAACAATATTCTCCGAAAACAAAAAAGGAGAAACATATAGTAATCAACAATTTCTTAATGAATTCTCAACCATCTATGAAGAATTCACTTGGATATTTACAGATGGGTCATTAGAACCCAGTTCAAGGGCAGTAGGGTTTGGAGTTCACATTCCATCAATAAATTATAACTATGCATCTAGACTACATGATCACATACAAATATGCACTGCTGAAATTATTGCCATTAATAAGGCAGTAGAAGTTTGCTTAGAAAAAAATATTAAAAAAGCAATAATATTCTCTGATGCAAAAAGTGCAATCCAAAAATTACAAAGTACCTGTTGGGGAACAAATAACCACATTGTAAATTTAACTAAAAGATTAATACTTGAGGCAAATGAAGCAGGATTTGATATTATTATAGCCTGGATTCCAGGCCACTCAGGAGTAAAAGGGAATATTGTGGCAGATCAATTGGCGAATATAGGTAGAACCCTAAACATCCCAGCTAACATAAAAATTGATAAAATGGACTATCTTTCATTTCTTACTCAAACATTAATAAATGAATTTAAACTTGATTGGCTTAAACAGTTTAAACAAAAGGGAAAGTGGTATCAACAATGTCAAAGCGAATTCTCTATAAAACCATGGTTTCATAAGTTTGACTTTGTAGACCGTAGACACCTGACAACAATTATTAGGTTACGAACAGGACATTGTTTGGCACCAGATCATCTATTTAAAATTAACTGTATTGATTCCCCTTTTTGTGAGTGTGGTCAAATAGGAAGTATAATACACATCTTGCTAGAGTGTCCTATCAATAAGACACCACTATTTGATTTATATCAAAAACTTATTAAAGATGGATGCCCAACGCCCATTTCAGTACAAAATATTTTCCACAATATCAATGCTAAAACCTTGAAAACGATTGGTAAGTTTATCAATATTTTCCAAATTAAAATGTAAGTAAAATATAAATAAATACCCAACCTAACCTATCCTTTAACCACTGATGTCCTGTCCAAGATGCCAAATTCCAGATATACCTTACATAGCTTAATAGATGGAACAAGAAAATCTATATCATTAATGACATATAGAATTATTTTAGAATATCCACTATAAATTGTCCAAAATAGTTGAAGGGAATATGGTTATTTCCAGAATCTCTGTGAGGAGAATTCCCTTCTATAATTGAAATAAAAATATATACATGAGCTGGCCACGTACCTAAGAGGTGGAGGCCATAAAACGAAAGAGAGAAGAACTGAAAACCCAATTTAACCTAAAATAGTTGGAGTTTGGAGTATTTATTGTTTTTCTTCTAAGAGTCATTTTTAATACTTTATTTAAAAATTTGCTTATGTTGATTGTTTGTTTATGTTTTTGTTCTAAGAATTTTTAGTGTTTTAAGTCATTTAAAAGGCTCATTTTATTGAATTTTTTCAATTATTGTGTAAATAGCCTCAATTGATTTATTGTCGTGTTTCCTATCCATACAATTGAAGTCAATTATGTGATTACAATATTATTTCTTGTTTTTGTGCAGGTTTAAAATTCTAAGCTATAATGTCAGGCACATGTAATAGATGCAATAAATCATGCATTTTTAAGGAACCAAAGTCTTCCATCGATGTCTTTGGTTTTCCTTGTGATTATTGCAAGTTGGTATTGTGTAGAAATTGTTCCAATGTAAGTGTCACAGAAATCAGAGCAATAGTGATGCCAAGTAGAATAATACCATATGTTTGCATGGATTGTACTCCCAAAATTAAGAATTTGATTGGGCTCTCAGAACGAGTAGATGTTTTGGAGAGCGAAGTTGCATACTTACAGGACACTACTAAGCAGGCCATGGACATGATAGAAGAAATAAAGTCCCATCGAAGGGAACTGGACTCTTTAAATGGTTCTTTTCAGGTAAGCTTTAATGAACTTAAATCTGAAATTTGATCTGAAAGATATAAGAATGCCTGAAACAACTGGTTCCATGGAACAAAACACAACATACCAATAAGTGATTAGCAAAATGATCGAAAGACAGAAAAGATCCAACAACATTATAATTTTTAATATGCCTGAGTATGGCGAGGATGACGATTTAAACAAAGCCAGATCCCTCTTATCTGGATTAATCAACTCAGCCATTGATTGAGGCTGAACGAATTGGAAAAAAGAACAAAAATGGATAACGTTCATACAGAATTGTCCTTCGTAACCATAATGACTATCTGTCAATACTCAGAAATAGAAGGAATATTGACAGGTCATTGAAGATTTTTATCGATTCAAATCTCACTCCACACAAGAGAACTGCATTAAATACTATCAAGAGTGAACTTAAGGAAAGGGAGAGAAAAGGTGAACAAAATTTATTTATTAAGTACTTAAATTGCACTAATAGAATAATGACAAAAAACTAACACAGTCTTCTCCTGGAGTATGGGTTTATTTTCAAAATGTAGGAGGTCTAAGAACTAAGCTCGACAGTTTATTTATGAATGTATCTATTCTCATTACAGTATTATCATATTCAACAAGACTTGTTTGACTTTTAACTATGCCAATAAAGAGCTGCAGTTGTTTGACCTCAACATATATAGAACTTTGATCAAATGAAAAGGCAAATATCAAGCACAGTTTATTAATTAAATTTTGCCCAAGTACTTTCGCTGCCTAGAGGTCTTCAGGGGCATTTTGTCAATTTTGGCCTATCCAACAAACTGTTGAGAACATTGTTTTCAAAACTTTACATTTTACAGTCTTTAATGAAATAGATTGAGGAAGGGAGAACTGTTTGTCTCAAGTTGGTCATTCAGAATTATATCTGTGTTTTTTAATTTGTTAATTTCCATAGATTCTAACAAAGATAGCTTAAGGCCTTTATTTTGAATGTGAAGAATTTGAAATTCATCATTAAAAGAATTATTATGATCTAGAAGGTGAAGTGCGTATGTAGAATCTGTTTTTCTATTATTGAAAGCCCTTTTATGTTCTGCTATTCGTTTATTAAAATTTCTACCAGTTTGACTGATGTAAGTTTTTGGGCAGTCGCCACATTTAAGTTTGTATACACCACTGTGTAAGTGCTTTTTATTTTGGCTTTTGTTGTTTTTAATATATTTGCCTAAGTTGTTGTTTGTTCTGAAAGCAAGTGTTATTCCTTTCTTTTTTATGTGTTTGGCAATTATTTATTCCCCTAAAAAGGTATTCAAAACATAGATTCCCTTCTTGGTTCTCTCCAGAGTTGAAGGATCTGATAGTTGAGAAAATGAAAGTGCACAAAAAATATCTTTTATCTAAATCACTTCTGGATTATCGAACTTTGTCTCAACTTAGGGCCAACTGTAAATTGTTAAAAGCTGAAGGCTACAGAAATCATATTTATTAAACACAAGTATCACTAGGAAATAATTTGATGAGATTTTGGTCATTTGTGAATTCACAGAGGGGAAAGACGCCTTCCTTGCCCGCTGTGTTGAGTTATGGTGGTGTTGAATTCAGCCACGGACCAGATATTGTAAATCTTTTTGCAGAATATTTTTCTACAGTCTATTCCACTCAAATGTGTGACATACCCAGTGATTCACCTTCACTTGGTCTTACTTACTAACTTGACTGGTTTCAAAATATCTGATATTTATTTAAAACTATCAGAACTGGATGTGAATAAGGGTCCTGGTTCTGATGGATTGAGAGAGAGAGAGAGAGAGAGAGAGAAATTAATTGTTTTTAAAATGAGTACATTTATAAAACACAACACAAATTTCCATAAAAAAAATATATTAATTAGAGCAACTGTCTTCAAAAAATTCATCTATACTATAGTAACATTTAGGTAATAAAAACTTTGGAATACAAAAATATTGCTTGAGGATCATATATCGAGTGGTAGGTGATTAACACTTTCTTACCAGTGTAAATAAATGATTGTTTAATTAATGTGGAAGAGGGAATTGGAAGTGGAATAACATAATTTAGACGATCTGTGGTCATTATAAGAGGAATCTGTCCGAATAACCTCTTTATGTTTTTTTTATAAATTAAGCACGCTAATTCAAGGATATAAATGCAAGGAAGTGTCAGGATACCATGTTTCCGGAACAGAGGCCTGCATGATGTACCAAACTTGACCTTGCATAAATATCTGAGTGCTCTCTTTTGAAGCATAAAATTTCTACTGAAATAATGAAGAGAACAGCTACCCAAAAGGCAATACTGTATCTCAAATTAGATTCAATTAGGGCCACATAAACACTTTTAGCAATCTTGAAATCTAAATGGTGAGCAACTGATTTGACATACAGTATGTTGCTCAAATTTTATTATCAATATAGAGACCTAAAAATTTGTTTACAGTGTCAGAACAAATGCATTCATTGCTCAGAGTAATGTTCTTTAAGATCATTCTTAAAAGAAATTAATTTGGTTTTTGAAAAATTAAATGTTAAATGATTAGCTTTGCATCACTCTAAGATTTTTAGCATATCACTACTAATAATCTTGTTTAGTGCCTTAGAGTCCTTGTTTTGCAATAAAATTGTGGTGTCATCTGCAAATATAGAGCACTGAGATGCTATCTGTTTTCGATACCGCAATATGGACTTGAAAGCTGGACATTGAAGCAAGAACACATACATAAGTTACAGTCCTTTGAAATGTGATGTTACATGAGGATGCTTAGAATAGCATGGACACAGAAGAAAACTAACACGGAAGTATTGCGAGAAATCGGCAAAGAATGCGAAATAAGAAAGTTACAATATCTGGGACATATAATGAGGGGACAGCGATATGAACTGCTAAGGCTGATAATACGGGGAAAGATAAGAGGAGGAGGGAGTATAGGAAAAAGGAGGGTGTCATGGTTGAAGAATTTAAGGGACTGGTTTAAATGTAGTTCTATAGATCTCTTAGAGCAGCAGTAGATAGAGTAAAGATAGTGATGATGATATCCAACCTCTGATTGGGAGACGGCACTTAAAGATGAAGAATAATATTTTTTATTTCAGCTGAGTTAGTAGGAAGAAAATAAAAAGAATTTATAATGTTTACTCCATTTAAAAAATGCATTGGATCAGAAGAATTAATTTTTCCAGCGAGTTCTGGACCTACTGAGGAGTAATATTTATTCAGCTTACCAGGGTCTACGACTATATCAGTAGTTTGGGGAACTTTAGCTCTAAGATTATTAACTATAGGTACGCCGAAATTCCTTTTGTTTATTATTGACATTTTCCATTCTAGATTTAAAAGATATACTTACATTTGGCTAATTTAGTAACCTTCCTATATATGGACCTTCTTCTTCTTCTTCTTCGTCTAGCCATTCACGTCCACATCTGAACATAAGCCTCTTCAAGTCTTCCTTTCCATTGTTTTTTATTGTACGCTACTTGTAGCCAATTTTTCCCGGCAGTCCTTTTCAGATCATCTGTCCATCTCATAGGAGGTCTGCCTCTGGGTCTTTTGTGTTGGTATGGTCTCCAGGTTAAAATTGATCTGTGCCATTTGTTTAGATCGCTCCTAGCTACATGTCCAGCGTATTCCCATTTCAGCTTTAATGCTTTTTGCACCACATCGGTGACTTTGGTTTTCTGTCTTATCCATGTGTTTGTTTTCTTGTCCTTAAGTGATATACCTAGCATTGCTCTTTCCATCGCGTGTTGAGTGACTCTAAGTATATTCATATTCTTTTTTGTGATTGTCCATGTTTGTGCCGCATAAGTTAATATCGGAATAATGCATGCATCAAAAACTTTAGATCTAAGATGTAATTGAATTTGTTGATTTCTGAGTATATAGTTCAGTTTACCGAATGCTGCCCAAGCTAACTTTCTTCTTCTTTTTATTTCTTCAGTCTGAATTTCCCTATTTAGGATTATTTTTTGTCCCAAGTATATATATTCTTCAACTTTTTCTATAACTTTATCGTTTATTATTGTCACGGTGTCTTCGGAGTGCATGACTTTTGTTTTGTTTAAATTCATTTTCAGTCCTATTTTAGAAGATTCGGTATGAAGTTCTACAAGCATGGTTTGCATTTCTTGTAGGTCAGTAGCTATCAGGATTATGTCATCTGCAAATCGTAGATTACTGAGGTAGCGGCCATTGATGTTTATTCCCTTATATTTCCAATTTAGGTTTTTAAAAACGTCCTCCAAAACTAAGGTGAACAGTTTGGGTGATAAAGTATCTCCCTGTTTGACTCCCCTGTTTAATGGTACAGGGTTCGTGTGTTCATTTTCATTTAGGTAGTATGTAGCTGTAGCTTGGTTCATAGTTTCTTTTATTAAGTTAATATATCTGCTGTCTATTCTACAATTTTGCATTGCGTTTATTACGGCCGTGTGTTCTATGGTATCGAAAGCTTTTTCGTAGTCTACAAATGCAAGGAAAACTGGAAACTTGTATTCGTTACATTTTTCTATTAATATTTTTGTGGTTAACAGGTGATCGGAAGTTGAATAGCCTTTTCTAAAACCTGCCTGTTCATATGGTTGGTATTCGTCTAATTTCCTTGTTAGTCGAGTAGTTATGACTTTGGTGAGTATTTTAAACAGGTGTGACAGTAGGCTGATGGGTCTGTAGTTTTCCAATTTTCGACTATCACCTTTCTTGTGCAATAAGATTACTTTAGAGTTGTTCCAGCTCTTAGGGACTTTGCCCTGATGTAAACAACTGTCCACAAGCTTAGTTACAATTGCAATTAGTTCCTTACCTCCTTCTAATATCATATCTGTGGTAATACTATCTTCTCCTGCAGCTTTATTTCTCTTCATGTTTTCCAATGCTGTAGTTACCTCTGAAATTGTTACTTTTGGCATTATTTCTGATCCAACATTTTTTATTAATTTCCGTGCTGGTCTCATCTCATCATCTTGTTGATGTGATCTGTAAAGTTCTGTGTAAAATTCTTC